CCTTGTTACCGTACTCCGTACTCATTCACCCATACATTTATTGTGTGTGTATGTGTGAAAAGTTACCATCACCCGAACCGACCAGAACCAAAGGTGTGTCTGCAAGGCAAGTCGCTCACAATTTTAACACCTGGTCTATTCATTCATTCATTCCTTCGTTCAGACAAGCAGACATATCCACACGCCTCGTCTTGAACTGTGCTTCAGTCCTGCTAAGGGCCCCCGGCACTCGACCAGACTACATGTGTTCAAAAAGATACCACCACCCGAACCGAACCAAACCAGGGGCATGTTAACCACACCTTTCATTCGTCCATTCATTCATACATCCAATCATTCACGCAGACAAATGTAAGCACACACGCCTGCCCTGCAGTAGTGTGGCCCGGCACAATCTAGCTGTAGTAGCTGGTACACAGTATGGCTCTATAAATACATGCATACGACCACCAGCATCTCGAGAGGCCTTTTCAGCGGCCAGCTACTAAATAATGCATGAACGTCACATAGAGGAAGGTAGCATAATACGAGCCGTCAACGATAGGACCATCACCGCCAACCGGACTGCGTGAACCTGTCTCCAGTGCGTCACGCAGCACACTGACTGCCTTGACACTTCCAGTTGAGGGATCCATGTCAAGGTCGGCCAACCTGTCTGTCAGTGAATGGCGGTAAGTCAGCCACAAACCAGTCTGTACCTAATTCCAGGTTGGATAGAGCCTACTTGAGAGTGGCACGCTGGTTCTGTTTGTCCTTGTAGTTGAGATCCTGGGACGAGATGTTGACATGGGGCATGAGCTTGCTCAGCGCGCGCAGTGCAGGGAAGCTGATGAGGTATGGCCCGATCATCATCATCTTCCGGGGGTTGATGAGCTGGCGCCTGCAGCACGTGTTACAGTGTCGACATTGCTGATCCTATTTGGTACCAGTCATTCGCCCGTGAACACATGGCCATGCTCCTGGCTTTTAATGTACCCCACAGCAGGCCCGCGTACCTTAGGCGCCAGCCAATGTGCATTTGGTCAATAGTCAGCACGACGGGTTGGAGCACGGACACCCACGTCACTGCAAGGGGCAATGTAAAAAGCTACCTCCTCCGGCTGGCGTTGTTGTCCTTTGACGCTGAGACCCCGGATGATACCCCGCAGCAACTGTTGAATTGTGCCGTCAACGAGTCCTGAATGTCAATCGATGTCCGATGGTTAACAAGTCAAGGCATGTGTACGCGCACGCCAGCCTACACTACTCACGCATGCCGACACTGCATCATACCTCGTTGTTGTGATGTTTCGAGCAGTCGGACGAGTTCACTGCGTGATGCATCTGCCCGAGCGTATGCCTGTAGCCTCACTCTATCAGCCTGGAAAAGGGATGTCCGCCGCTTAATCTCCCTGTCCAGCGCTATTCGATCTGCCTGCTCGGCGATCAATGCGGATGTGACCACCTTGAGCCGCTCAAAGAGCTCAACGTGTCCCGCACGCTCAAGTCCCTCGGCAGAACGGAAGGGGACAATGACACTTGGGTCTGTCGCGACTCGCTGTGTCGCAGCGACTCGCAGTGAAGCAGCGTCGGCTGAACGCTTCAATTGGTGATTTCTGTTGAGGGCCAGACACGCGGCACACGGCCGTACAGCTGCGGAGGAGAAACTGCAGACAACGGACCGGATGGAGTCGATTTCGCCGTAGTATGCTGGAAGCTGATTCTCCCGGAAGAATGTATCCGCCTGTGGCGCCATGTCAGGATTCCCATGTGGGTTAGCATTTGTCAGGCAGACCAACACGCTAGCCTTGCCTTTGCCCGACCCACATGCACTGACCTTATCAAACCGCCATGCCATCAACAACCCGGGGTACCAGGCTAGCGCGCGCCCTGCATCGCCGCCCGTGTCCATGATGGCGGCCTCAATGTCCCGCGGCCCCAACACACCCGCCTGGGAACAGCCGTATAGGCAGGCGTAACATTCGTCGCGCAGTCCAGGGCACGACATCCCACCGATAACACGGCGCCGACGCTCGGCTAGTTGTTGCAGGAAGGCGGGGCGCGCTGGACGGGCGCCCGGCATGGGTAACGGACCGGGCAACGGCGCCGTGCTTCGAAGCCCGCGCTGCGACAACAGGTCTGAAAACATGGCATACCGGCATCCGTATCCAACACTGCCGGTGCGAAGGCTGCGAAGGACGCATACTTAACTCCACAGTTAGATCCATCGAAGCCACAAAGCGCCTGAACACAAAATTGTGGGTACAGGACCGTGCATGGCGCTGGGTGGCCACAGCAACACAAGTTAATCGTGTGCTGGCGTCCACAGACTCTGCAATCAAGCTGACGTTTCTCCAGGACTTCCATAGCAGAGGCCTGAGACTTCTCCGCCCCGAATACTTCCATGCATGCACCATGGTTCATTTAGCACCGTTCGACACAAGAACCTATGGTGATAATATAAACTGGCATACTTATTACAATGGTTTACCGAGATTTTTAGAAATGCTTCCCTACTGTCTAAATACCTTCAGCTTTTTAAAAGGAACACGCCTTAGATATTGCACAACAACGGCATAGAGATGTATAAGTATACCAAAAGCACTTCCAGCGCCGCGCACTGTCATGCATTAATGCATACACCACGCTTCCGTACAACAAGAGTTTGGTGCGCATGTAAGTATGGGTTGCAAGCATGTCGCAGTCGATAATCTTACAATAGTATTACATACCTACCCAACTTCAGCGTTTAGCGTTGATTACATAGAAGATAGGTTACTTTCGGGTAGGAGTGGCGGGTAAATGGCCGCTATAGATGTCGCCCTGGAGGACACTGCGGAAGATGGAGACCCTCGAGACCAGCTGACACGAAGTCCAAATGACGCGGTATGTCTTTTCATGCTTTGTGGCTTCCAACCATGCAAATGCGCCATGGTGCATTTGCAGCCATTCGCCTTCACTCGGGGTTTATTTAATTCTCTGCTGCGTCTATAGTCTGATGTCGCGGCTCTCGCGACGTGTCTCCACGATGTGGTGGACGGGGACGATGAACGGGTGGATGCTGTGCGTCGTCAATTCGAAGAAGATCTCGGCGGCTACTCCGTTGGTGATGCATGGGAACTGTTCCGAGGTGAGAGATTGATCACAGAGAGAAAAGCGCGAGTCCGTGCCAGAGACGTGGGGCGGCGATGTCCCCGTGCCGTGCCGAGAACAACCGGAAACTTTGTGAACGGTGTTTTGAAAGACAATGTGTCCTTCATTGCAGAGGATTTCCAGCTATCCCCGCTTCGTGCCGCCATGGCCCTGAGAGGGAATGTACCGGGCCTTACCGTCTCGGACGCGAAATCCCTCTTGTTCAAGACCAAAACGGCATCGGAGGGGGCCGTGGAGGATCAGGGACACAGGGACGCGGAGACTGGCACCATCGAGGACGCGGCGGAACTGTGGTCCCGATGAGTGCACCAGCCGCCATCACCGAAGCAGAGGATGTGCCACCCCGCGTCAAGTCGCGTGGTGCTACTGGTAAGTGGCGACGTGAGATGTGTGGCAGGGAAGAGTGGGCAACCTAGAAAGGAGGAACCCACCTCACCCCACCCACCCAATTGCATAATGTTATACATACCGACGTCTATGAAACATCATACCATATGACAACAGAAATGCCCCCCTTGTTTTACAACCCTGTGTAGGCGAGTTCAAAACAAACTGGTCAGAGCTCGGCGGTGTAGACCCATATGCCTGCTGCATCAGCGGCTGCATCAGGGAGTGGTCCATCGGTGCTAAGACTGGCAGTACACGGCCGGTCGCATTCACCAAGCAGTACTGCTGCTGAAAGCCGCTGTGGATTATGCGTGGTTTGATGCCATACTACAATGGCCTGTCTGTTTTCTGCGCCAACGTTTGGCGTTTGTGCGTGGGCAATCCGGGAGTCAACCGCAGGAGGGAGGACCCCTGACATGGGGAGCGCGGGTAGCCAATCCACACGGAAGTGTCGTGGTTTACATGGGCCCAGGCGTGCAACGTTTTGTGTCAGTGTTTGGTTGCATGGGCGGAATACCGGGGGCGACTTCATGGGCCATGCAACGCCCAACGGAGAGCTCGATGGATTAAGGCATAGATTGCATATGGCAAACATATTCTTCTCGGCAGACATCTGCATATTCATTTGTTTTCAATGTAGCTCGTGGTACTGAGTTTAGCGGTTTATCAGAGATTTGTCATTGTTACCACCCGAACCTATTCATGCATACGAGTGTTGTGGGATAAACTGGACGGACTGTCGATAAAGTGTGGTGGGAAAACAGTGGGACCTCGGCAGCTGACTTGACTGGGTAATGCAGTCGTGGCCCTGAGTGCTTGCCTCCGGTAGTAGTAGTAGTGCCAGAGTACGGTAACCAGGTGTGCAAGTTTTCCCACTCCATGTCGTGGGATCGAATCTAATACACACATGAGGCATTTGTAAGCGGTCCTCTTGCAAAGTTTTTCTGTAAATTCCTTAAAAGTCATGTGCTTTTGGATGCCAGCCCCAGCCAATCCTGCCAACTTGACAGCCAATTCGACACCCTGTCAGGCTAATTCGATACCCTGTCAGGCCAATTTGACACCCCGAACAGGTCAATTCGATACCCTGTCAGGCTAATTCA